TAGTAAATTTTCACCCCACCAGGGAATTACACAAGCGGTAAACACCCGATGACACAAAGTGCCATCATGTGGATGAGGATCACCGTAGAGAGGTCCCAGAAATCGCATTCAGCCATTAGACCATTAGATGGTTGGGCTATATTGCGGCCCCTGGCAAGAGCCAGGGTGGGGCTTCAAAATAGAGAAAAATTGCATCTCACAAGGAGATGACAGGATTACGTTTAAAAAAAAAAAAACAAGTACAAAGTATTAAAGGCAAGGACACAGCAACCTCTGGTTGGTGCACAGCCCCAGCGACCTCCCCTTTGATATTTTATATATATATTTTTTAAACATTGATCACGACATCATTTTGTAAGGTAGCAAGATAACCTCCGCGAAAAACAGTTGAGAAGACTAGACTTGCAAATGTGCAGGAAGACAACATCGTTTGTGACACAACCTGGCAGATGACCAGGGGGAAACAGATGTTCGGGCTGTTACCTCAAGGGAAGATTAGTTGTCTAGACAGGGAGACTGCCTTTAAAATCGTACTGGGAAAAGACGCAGTCACTTATGACACAACTAGGCGGACGACTAGTGGGAAATCTGCTGAAGGGACTACTAGTTTGTAAGCCTCTGTGAAGAACAGTTGAGACGACTTGTAAGTAAACAGTAGCTTATGGTACAACCAGACAGACGACTAGGGGAAACGGCTGGACAACTAGTTGATGAGACGACTAGTTGGTTTGACGGGCAGACTTCCTTTAAAAACCGTCCTTCTTACTTTGTGAAAACTCGCAGTCACTTATGATAAAGTTTAGCCTAGGACTACGGGAAACAGTCAGACAGCCTGCTAAGAAGAAATGTGTTTGTTAGATAACAAGATAGCCTCCGCGAAGAACCGTTAATAAGACTTTAGTGTACAATCATTTACGGTACAACCAGCCACACGACTAGAGAAAACAGACGGTCGGACATCTAGGTGAAGGGACGACTAGTTGGTTAGATGGGCAGACTGCCTTTTAAAATAGTCCTTTTTACTTTATGAAAAAGCGCAGTCACTTATGTTACAAAAAGGCAGACTAACAGGGGAACAGACGGTCAGACATCTAGTCGAAGGTACGACTAGTTAGTTAGACAAGTTTATACAAGTACTGTAAGACGAAAAGACATCGAGTAACTTAACGTGGTCACGTGAAGAAGGACATCGAGTGATTTAAAATGTATTAATGATAGTGGGGCTGCTCTGAAGAAAGTTGACATGCCAAGTAAAAAAAAAAAAAACAAGTCTGTAAAAAATATTGACAATCTGGTCCCTAGGTAGCCATGTGTCTTTTAGAAGTCGCTTTGTATTTTCTAAAAGTCGCCAAGTGTTTTCTAAAAGTCGCTATGTGTCCGACTTGTCAGGGGCAGCCAGTGAAAGACTTGTGCCATATATCGAAAGGCTTAAGGTGTCCCAAAGGAGAAAGATTTAGAGTGACTTGATGTGTTCCAAGGGCAGTGAACCACTTACTAAGACCGACTTGCTAAGACCACTGATAGACTTAAGAAGTACCTTGAATGATTTGAGGTGTCTCAGCAAGATATCGAGCTATGTCCCCAAGAGAAAATACATATGAGTGACTTGAATGGTACCAATTCTAGTTAATGACTTACCAAGAAACATCAGTGAACGAGTGACTTAATGTGTTACACATGAGAAAGAAACCAAGTTGTGTCTCAATGGAGAAAGACATCGGGTGGCTAAAGATGTCCTATGGACAGTAAACGCCTTACCAAGGAACATCGGTGAAGACTTACTAAGCATAGCAACTGAAAGTTTTGCTACGTACATTGGGAGACTTAGGATACCCCAAAGGTGAAAGACATCGAACGACTTAAGGTGGCCGACCTTACCAAAGAACTTCAATAAACGACTTAACAAGATCAGTTAACAACTTGAAAAGTGTCTTGAGTGACTTAAAAGTGTCCAAAACAAAAAAGAACTGTAGTGATTTAATGAGTACCAAAACGGTGAACGCCTTTCAAAAGACATAGCCCATTTGTAGGTGTCTCAAGGATAGTGGTTGACTCACTAAAAAAACTTTGGTGAACGACTAACGAAAAGCGGTGACCAGTTAGAGAAGTACATTGAGCGACTTACTTAGGAACTTAGATGAACCACGCGCGAAGACCCGTAACCAAGTTGCCAGGTACTTTGTGCGACAGTGGTGACTATAGGCCCATAAACCCCTCCTCTGACTAGTCGACACGACGACTTGATACTCTCAGCCAAATCTAACACTGTGACATGACACCAACAAAATTTACTTAATTTTCCTATTTTGTTATATTAAAATGTCAGAGCATCATATGCTACAGGGGACCTAAAACCCCACATCTAACACATGTCATGCCCGCTCACTGAGCACCTGCATCTAACACTGTGAGATGATACCACCACGTAATTGTTCGTTAAAAAAAAAAAAAAATCTTCATAAAGTCAAAACACCATATGCAGCTCTCCGGTGGCTAGAGAACAAGATGTATACACATGTCGTAACTGTAACAGACTCTGAAAGCATGCTGAAAAAGGTGAGGACAGGGATGCTTCGTGCAGAGTGGCTAGCTTTACTGGAAAGGTCACGGGTAGAGGGCATACATTGGATCTTTTCTCCAGGCAATGCCAGCGAAGTGGGTAATGAACAGACAGACAGACTGGCTGGATCTGCACCATTGGGTGGTGAACTGATACATGACAAGGCAGATGTGGTCAAGGCCCTTTGGGAACAAGCAACGGAATCAGTAGAGAAAGAAGATTATTATGGCCTGGAGAGAATGAGAACAACATTTAGCGCATGTAAAAGTTCACACGTTAAGACATTCTAACTATGAAAGGAAAGTAAAGGACCGCTTTCAACGCATTCAGGTAAATTAGGCATAATTATGTAAATCTAGACCTATTTGATAGACTAATCCGAACTGGGTGGGTTATGTGGACAACATCACACCGGCCGCATTTAATTCCCAGTACTGAATCTGGTCCCCCCCCCCCCCCCCCCCCCCCCCCCCCCCCCCCCCCCCCCCCCCCCCCTCAGTAATTCTAACTAGTAAAAAAAAAAAAAAAAGAAGTAAAGATCCCTTTTTACGCCTTTAGGCGTATCGGGCATATGGGAAGAGCGCCCATATTTTTACAGACCATCAGCGCTCGGTGGGTAATGTGGTCAGCATTACGCCGGCTGTCTTCACTTTCCCAGGACAGCCATCCTGGTACCCATTTTAAGCTGGGTCGACCTGCGACGTCCCGTACCATGATAAAAATCCACGCAGCCAGCAGTTGGTTTCGATCGCAGTAATTCTAACTAGTTACCTTAAACATACATTATATCTTAGAGAGCATCTAAACAATGATTACTGTTTAACTTACACGTAAACAGTGCTTTAAGAAGACTACAACAATAACTAAACTAAAATTACGTTTATTTCCGTCTAGGTCGGCGTGAACTACCAGTCTTTTGATTCACAGCAACAACGCACTAATGAATCGCCCCACAAGAGACACGTACTATTCATAGTTACTGCCCAATTAGATACACGTATTGGCAAGGTTTAGCCAAATAAACATTGACACCATCGATTTTTCTGGAAAAGAAAGAGATAACTAATTTAACAGCTGGTAGTTATATGTAAATAAAAAGATATGAAACCGAACGAAAACTGGAAGCAGTAAGCTTTACAATATCACAAATACAAATGGACGATGCGGCTTCAGAGCATTCATCAGCACATTACGTTAAATCAACAACATCCACTACAAACAGAAATACACATAATCTCTTAAATGAGTGATCTACGATAGAAATCACACCTCTGTTTAACCAGTACTGACATGTGTATCAGTAAATGTACTATATGTGAGTGACCTTTAGTTTCTATTTTGGCATTCAGCGTATTTTATATTGAAAGCCAGTACAACACAGGGCCCATCATGCTTTGCCACAGCCAGCTCCAGGTATAAGACCGTACAACTCAAACAGGAATTCCCGTTTTTGTGAGGCTGGCGTGGTCGGTCGGCGGTAACAATTGTAATCGAATGGATTTATACACAAACTGAACTACAGTTTAATTATTTTCCCAACATGTGTTTTTAAATGAATTATTATTTTGAAGATAAATAAATGGGCTTTAAGAAAATATTTATTTAATTGTAAAACAAAATAATAATTGGACAGCGACAAACTGTTGACACTAATCTAACTACGTAACCTGATGAGGCCGGTAAGGCCGTCTTCGTGGTCAAGATAGGAGACGTTATAACCAGCTTCGCAAGGCAACAGTAGACTTACCTTAAGATGGTTGCATCGACAGGGTATGAAGCATGCAAATGCTCAGTGTATAGCGATATTGACCATGATTAAATAATATGACACAATTATTATCACAATGATGATGATGATGATGAGGATGATGATAATGTGTAACAACATAATTCATTTTTTGCTAAATTCTACCGAGCATCCACCCATTACAGAAGATACATCAGATCCACTGGACTGATCACCTAACATGCATTCCAGACCATCGGTTTCCAAAGAGAATACTTTATGATGAACAACATGGGAGAAGATACTTAGGTGGATATGGGAAAAAAAACATGCTCCAAAGACTCATAAAACGGCTTTTCGATCATCTGGCATCAAGACAAAAGCACGGAAGGCGTTTTGCACCACAAGACAGATCTGGATGGCACACAGTCCTTAAACATGGTGCATCAGACTGCCAGGCTGCGGAGGTTGCACTAGAAGAGAGACGTAGGCCGACCAGAAGGAATCGTTAATAAATCCCACCTGTTGCTTCCATTTGTTGTTCACGCTACTCAAGAACTTCCCCTCGCTCGAACTGGACATGGGTCATCTTCGTACTCACAGTTATTGATCATTATTAAATTTGGATGCAAAATTATCTTGACCCCTCGTGAGAGACGAACAACATACGACAACATGTAACAACAAACAACACAACAGTAATAAGTAGCTTACTCTATAGGCGAAGCAGGATCACCACTTGGAAAATATAAATCTATATGAAGAAACCTGAGTTGTATTCGTTCTCTGCCCACACCTGTGAAGTTGTACCGACACGTAATGCCTGCAGGATACGCCTCTGGGTGGAAAGGACTGGAAATTGTTCCGTTGCGATGCGTGTGACTTTCTATATTTTCGTTGCATTGAAATTCTGAAGAAAAAAGTAACAAAAGTGTTATTATTATTATCATCATCATAAACCACTTCTGTAGTTAAGCGTTGTAGGGAGGAATAATTTTGCAGTCCAGTGTACGCTGGCTGCCATTGGCTATTGTCATGCCGCGAAGGCGTAGAGTGTCTTTAATGTTGTCGATCCATGGTTTTCGCGGCTGTCCTCTTGGTCTTGTAGCTGATCTTTTGAGATGTAGTGCTTGTGATTGTATCTGATCTTGCTGCTTTCTAACAAGAAAGCCAAGTCATTTGATATGCTGTTTCTCGATGAATCGAAAACAAGTTGTCATTCCCACAATTTGTCTGATAGTATTGTTATTCACTCGATCTCAGAAGGTTAGGTTGGTGGCTTTTCTCAGTCATCTTATCTCGCAAATGGTAATTTTCCTACAGGGGCTTAAGATAAAAGCGTTATATCCTTCTTTAACACTGAGCTCTGTCGATAGAAATGTTTCCATAACAGCATTGTTTTCATTTCCAGTCTGTATAGTCATCGTCCTTTTTCCATCTGTTAAAAAAAAAAAAGGTTTTTCCCTTTCTCGATATTTTCACCTTTCCTCATTGCCACTGTTCATTTACCCTAGTTTCTTCTTCATCGTCACCATTTTCTTATATTTCTTTTAATTCTTGCCCCTCAACATCCTCTTCCCTTTCCAATTGTAGTCTTCCCTCTTCCTTCATAAAGAATATTGTACCTCTTGTCTGATTTTTGTTCTTCATTTCCTCAAATTTCTTCGACTCATCTCCTAACATAAAGTATCCCTTTCCCTCCACACCTTTCTTTATTTCACTTTACCCTCATTCCTTCACGTTCTGGCTCCTTACCTCCTCATTCTTTCTTTTCACTAATTTGCCCTACGTCCTCACCCTCTCCTTCCGTTCAATTCTTGCCTTCTCCTAATTTGACTTATTTGTTACTTTTGTGAATGAAAATAGTTCTTAAATAAAGATTAACCAGGGCCTCTTATTCGATACATTACGTATTTTTAGGATCATTTTTGCTTTTCATCTGGGATTTCTTTTTTCTCAATCACTCTGTATTGTTGTCACTTGTTTTAAGAACTTTCGCCATGTTACTCGCCGCTTTACCTTTTACAAATTTAATCTCACACGACCATATTTGTGTTTGCAATACAGCCTTTGGGAAACTCACAAATTGTAATGTCCCATACGCTTTTATGTCGGTTAAGCTTTTACCACCTTTCAGTACTAGACGGTTTGTTAGAAGATCCTAAGGGAAGCAAAGGAGGTAACTGCTATGAAAAACCAGGCGTATTTTGCGTTTGAAGAGGTCAAATAGACAGTAAAGTGACTAAATGAAAAGCCAGATTTTCTTAGTAGGTTGTGACCAAATACAAGAAGTTAAAAAAAAATCAATCATTGATTGGACTTTTTGGGGAACAGCAAATGAATCATGCCTCTCTTGGGACTGAAAGAGTTACAAGTAAAAATTACTAGTCATCACATATTCCCTGCATCTCATTAGTTTTCAATTTCTATTTCTATATTTCTTCATGTTGCATCACCTCTTTAACCCGTTGCTACCAATGATGTTACATTGCTCTCTCACATTGTCTAATAACACTTGCTATCTCTTCCTCTCTCCATCCTCTTCTTTATTTTCTTCTCTCCACCCCCTCCTTATAATACAACAGCAACACAGTTACTAGTTATGCAATTACTATTATGCATCCACTTTCATGTGCTCATATTTCTCCTGCTAGCCATTAGCCTAAAATGTCTAAACATTGATCTCATACATTACCATCTCACATTATCAACCAACAGCTGCTCTCTATCTCCCCCTTCCCTTCTACTGCCTAATATTCTTATATTTTTCTCACGCTTACAACGTCCCGCAAACTAACGCTAACGTATATGTAACATTCTTAGTAATAATCATTAGATATCTCGTTACTTGTGCTCATGTCTTTCCTACTACCCATTAATTTAACATTTCTTTGACGTCAACGCTCTAACATTATCATCGCACAATCTCAGGAAACACCTTTACTTTCATTCCGGATATAATTCCTTGTCATTAGTGATATCCCAGTAACTGTCAAGTTTCGTTAATCTAAGTATTGTTGAATTCTTCTTCTTAGTATGTCTGCTATCCATCCCTCAATGGAGCAAAGGCCCTTAACCAACTCATACTAAATCGTTCTGTCTTTTACTATTGCATGCATCTTACCCCATGTTCTCACCCTCTGTTTAACTTCGCTAGGTGCTTTTTAGCCTGCTCATTTTCTATGACATTTACTTGCAAAGACATTTTGATTACATTGTTCTCGGGTTTCCAAAAAATACTAACACTATAATGGCTCATTTCTGTTAATACCTCTACTGTCCTTCCTACATTGTAGAAAGTTTCAGCATTCCAGCTGCCAGATCTGGAGATTTTCCTGGGGGAAATGAGGCACGTCGACGATCCGGACTTCTTTCGGCTTTCTTCGCTCGGTGTCATCAGACTTGTATTAGAAGAGCACCCCACTCCATTCCCAGCATTGGTGGTTAGGTTTTTCTTGTATCTTTATTTTTGTTTGTTTTTTACTTTTCCGTAATTAGTTGAATTTTGTAGCAATTGTTTTTACGGGATGAGGTAACCGGCCTCAAGCCCAACCCCCACTTATAGTCGTCTCTTATGACATACCTTGTAAGGTGCACTGCTATTCTTTGCATTCTATAAGGACACCGTTAACACACATGCGAAAAGTATTGTCGGATTCTGTCTCTATGACAAAAGTTTAAGTCAGCTGCATATCCTTTACAGGACGCCTTAAAACCGACCTCAGCATTCGTTGGCTGTTTTGTAGTTTTACTAGGCAATTTTACTTTCAATAATTTGTATCTCCAACAGAAATCAACCCCACTCAGCACAAAGAAACATCTCAAACAAAGCATATTCATTCTCGCTTTATTCTACCAGAGTCAGACATAGTCGCTCACAACTAACCAGAAAATTAAAATCAGCTTCCCTGGAAATGAGATGTCTGAGAAAGATCGCAGGAGTGAAAAGAGGAAGTAAAATCAGAAATGATGTCATAAGAGAAAACGATGTGACGGAAGTACAGCATAAAATATACAAGAAAACAGATGGAAAGATAGCATCGTAGAAGTTTACTGCAGTTCAGTTTGCCACTTTTTTTTTTTTTAAATCGAGGCTGAAATAACAGCAAGAACCAGAACCCCTTATTTCTCTCCACCACCTGAAGAGGAAAACTATTAACTGAGAGAACTTAAACATGATTTTAAAGTTATCATTTCCTAATTAAAAAAAAATATTTTAATAGCGCTACCTCAGTTAATCTAATTGAGGGGGTTGGGGGGTTGGGGGGGGGGGGGGGTTGAGAATTAGTTGGTTATTTAGAAGTACAGTAGTACGCTTTACTTTCAGCTCTTGAAAAAAATACAGCTTTAGCATGTGATGAACCAGCAACCATTGTGTTTAGCCTTAATAAGACAATTTAAACAACCACTGATATAAGGACACAATTATATGTTGCACGTTCTAGAGTCAGCAAACCAGACTATTTCTGTATCTGCTCAAATGCTGATCGCAAAATTAACCATATTAAACACGGGCGCTTTCTATTTTCGGTTTTTTTCCATTTAGCTAAACTGAGCCACAGCAGCGCGTGACCGGGAACAGCTAGCATAATACACACGCAGACACACACACAAACACACACACACAAACGAAGGATTAAAAATCCCACTGAAGATCCGATTCAAAATCCCACTATAGTTAAACCAGATTGATGAATTCATATTTTTAGATTAGACTTGCATAAAGCCAGTAAGAGTGTTCCAAGTAAACCTAAACCGGATCTGGTCACGGATCCTTGACGGTAATCACCGCTGTTCATGCGGGAATTCCAAGAAATGTCTAAAGAAATTCACAGAAGACAAAGCGATTTCTTTTGCGAGAGGGAGGGAACACCGAGATGTGAATCTAGGAATAGAAACCGGATCGTCCCCAGTGTGACAGATTGTGTACATGTCTTGGTTTTAAATGACTGTCAAATGTAACCTCTCTTCTTAAATGTCAATTCAGGCATTCTTGTTAAAATTATCATCTCATACTTTTGTCTTTTCCTCTTCTTTTTTCCCCCTCCTTCTTTCTCCATCTTCTTCTTTTAACCCACTTTCATCCTCCTAGCTAGGAAAAGGGAGGAGGAGAAGAGGAAAACAGAAGGAGAAGGCGAGCGCAAGAGGAGAAGAATAAAATGCAGGAGAAGTAGGATAAGGAGGAGGAGAAGGGGAAAAAGAAGAAGAAGGAGAAGGAGAAGAAGACGGAGAAGGATAAGAAGAAGGAGAAGGAGAAGAAGAAGAAGAAGAAGAAGAAGAAAAAGAAGAAGAAGAAAAAGAAGAAGAAGATGATGAAGATAAAGGAGGAAAAAGAAGAAGAAGAGGAAAGAGGTGAAGGAAGACGAAGATAAAGATGATGAGGAGGGTGAGAGGAGGAAATGAAGAAAGAATCGATAGAGGGAGAAGAGGAAGAAAAGAAGGAGAAAGAAGTAGTAGAAGCAGTAGCAGTTTATAATAAATATATTACCACTACATGTAACAGAACAGCCGGCGTAATGCTGACCACATCACCCATCATGTGCCGATTAGTCTGTAAAAATATTGGTCTGGCCCTATATGCCCAATACGCCTAAAGGCGTGAAAAAGGGGTACTTCACTTTACTATATATAAAAGAAGACTACTTCTTGGTTTTTTTCAATGGATAGACTTCACACGCAGAGATATCAAATGTCGTGGAACCCTTGAAGCCAATGGAATATTATAAGACATACAGTCACAGGTACTGATCAGCGACAATAGCAAAAAAAGTACAATTATAACACATATTGTTGTGTAAATCAACCACGCGACGTTGATCTACAGCACAGGTTCTCAAAATGTGGGTCGAACGGCCCCTTTACAAGGGTCGTCAAAGACGATCGGAAAACACATTCACTGCTGAAGTTATAAATTAGCAACGAAAATAGTCGTACTGTTTGGGGGTCGCCGCAACATGAGTAACTGTATTAAAGGCTCGCTGCATAGGAGGGTTAAGAGCCACTGATCTAAGTACTGTTAAGAAAACTACTCTGGGTGAAAAAAGTATTGCACATATCAATTTCATACTGATTGTGCTTGTTTACTAATTATTAAATAACCGTATAATTATATGTTGTAGTAGTCTACTAATAATAATAATAATAACCATCAATTATTTATATTTATGTTATGTATGATATGTGTGTGTTTCATAGCAGTATTTGTATGCGCTAAATTTGATAAAGTACAAATGTCACCCCCACCTCCCCACCCCCCTCTTCTCTGATGCAACAATACCCTCTCGGAATCAAAGAGTTAGCACTGATATTTTTTTTACTTTTGCTGGAACAACTCTTAGTTTTCATCTAAATGTTATTGATGTTTATGTTCATGTTGACTGTAGCAAAAGCATTTTTGTTTGTCTGTAAGAGCCTTTATTGTTATATTTATTCGGCACACTAATTTACCTTAAAAATGACGGATAGTTCTAAAAAATATGTCGAAAATTAATGAAACTGTAGTTTAATTTGTGTATACATCTCCTCGATGAAAACTGTGGACGCAGAGGGACTCAATTCTTGCACAAGAACGGGAATCCCCGTTGACCCAGTTGGCCTATTTATATCTAAAGATGGCCGTGTGTTAAACAAATGCGATCGCAACAATGGTCGTGACATTCAATGCTCTAATGGTGGAAGACTTTTCGTAACGCGACACTGATTTGCTAGTCACTCGTCATTGTTATGGACTGTGATACCCATGCTTCCTTATAGCAAAATACAACACTATAGTCTGCAAGGACGGAAAAATACCATTATGGAAGGCCATTGTAATTGTACGATAACAATCCCCGTGTGGGTTCTGGGGTCCCACTGTGGGTAAAAACAAGAAGAGACCCACTGTCTCCCAAACAAGCGTGTCGTAGGAGTCGACTAATTAGGGGTATCCTTCGAAGTCTCAGTACATCTGTATGAGAGACAAGGAACTAAGAGTCTGCATACAAAAAAGGCTAGATCTGTGAAATGGATGTGCACGCAATACTCAGGTTCTGTAAGAAGACAAATGTCCAAAAATGGGCGAACAACCAGAACTTTCCGCTGGAGTTTACAGCCAGTGAGTGCGAAGAAAAAAAAGATTGTCAGACAAAGGTAAGTGCGGACCGATTAAAGAGAAAATGTATGTTGGCTGGTTGGTAGTCTACAGGGAAACAGAAAGACATACAGACCGACTGACTGACCGACAGAAACACAGACAGAACGACCTACAGACATACATACAGGTAGACAAATGTACACATGGAAACAATCAAACAAACACAAAGCCATCCAGACAGGCAGATATGTATGACAGACAGACATATGGATAAATGGTATCTAAAAAAAAAAAAGCCTTCATAACATGATTTACATTTCATGAAAACATTTTCAATAATATTTTCTGTTTTATTTCGAAGCCCTTTCGACTAGTCGATTTATCAACCCGCCATATTTCTGACTACCCTCTGATTTGTGTGGTCCCTTTAAGTTCTCAGTTTTTACATATTTCATCAGGCTAGAAATTGTCGGTTCATATTCTCACATTCAGACAGTAATAAAACGACAACAGATATAATGAATAGGCAGGCAGTTAAAGGGACAGATGAATG